CTCACTCACTAGCGTGTGGCACGTGAGATACTCAGAGCATGTCACCGCATTCGTAAACGTCTTATCTACAGTAGGTATCAAGCAAATCATATTGATATAGATACACCATAAAATGCATAAAGCATCCTTATAAAATCAGATACTTGACCCACTTCACGAAACGGGTCCATAACAACTCTAAACTACGGTCATTTGTGTATTTGTCGCTCTGGTATTTTTATTACAATCGCGTGGTTGCTGTGTGCATTGTTATGCAACTTTTGTGCAGATGAACGATGGTCTGATCAGAAAACACGACCCGGATGTACTTGTACACTGCACACCTTATACAATGCATGTGTAATCACGGGTCACTCATCGCATTACCTAATCACTCGCATGCTAAGCCCACGACTCGGAAAGGTAGTCCTTAGTCTTGTCTATAGTAAACATGGTTCAACTCTGGTGACCTTGCCCTTTGTTATATAAAATTAATAATTTACTGAGACAAATACGAACTGCCTCATTATATTCAGTGTGTGACTACTGTATTTTTTGTGAAGAAAAAAATGCCCTCCAGGAATAACTATCATGTTGCAAGCTCTGCTTTGTATGCAAATCAACTTCATGTATCTAACAATAGTTAATTTTCTATTGATTCAGGTCTTGATCAAAAGTTTGACACCCAATTAATTATATTGATTATCTGAAATCTTGTTTTCTGTTAAGATGTTATTGGTAGGGTTGTAAATGTGTATCAGACTGTGCAACAACTCTTTCCTTGACATTGAAACCCAGTCTAGTATTCCCATGGGATTTGGGAGATACATTACCAATGATATTTATTACAAGGTAAATGATTTACTTTATTGAACACATACACCAATGCATATTTCCACTGGGACCAGTGACCTTTGAATTTGTATCACTAATGATCAGTCAGGTAGAAACAATCACAATGTTTTATCAGATTTTGACTACTACTTTCTCAATTTGTGCATGATATTTTCACATAGGACATCTGACGTTCATACTAAGGAAAGATTTTATACTGATGAATTAGGTGACCAAGTTTGATAAAGACTTGTTTGGAATAGAATTAGTAAAGTTACTGTGCACACATTAACAATTATTAACAACGACGCCGACAGACATTTTGCCCTTAATATACATTTCCCTTTCATCTTTGATGATACGGACAAGGTAAAAACTGACCGAGAAAAGTGTAAGCAATTGTAAGCAAAAAATAAAAGTCATGATATGATAATTATAGGTAACACTATTGTAACAGGACAGATGGGGATGTGATGGAGTGCGCTGTCCTGTCGTGTACTTACTTATTCTCTGTCCGCTCCAATTTATTAATTTTTCTCTCTCATCTGTTTCATGACTTCGTTTTCTGTAATAACTACTATAAAACCATTTATTTTTTCTGACATTTAATTTCACTATTTTGATGTTTTAGCATATTCACTGTGTTTTAATTACATGAATTTGTCAAAGAAACAAGGAGTAAAATTATCAGCGAAAATAGTGAAACAATTATTTATGCATCTACAGTAAACCCTTTCAACAGAAACGTTGAAACAGTCGGGCCAGCTACTTTAAAGTTTATAGCGGTGAATTACGGATGTTGACATCGTGGTTAGAACCTATTCTGAAAAAGATTGGACTTCACGCTATTGAATTTGCATCGACACGTGATTATGTGTTTGTAGAAGGTGGGCAAGGGGGGTAGTTGGTACAGGTTACAGAAAATAAAAAGGATATTTTACGTTTTTACAAGAAATAAAATGAAAGTTCCATTTACAGTGAAAAGTGGGTTTTTACACTTTACAGAAAAAAAAACAAATTCCTAATTACATTTTACAGTTTTTTAATATATTTGATAATTTGTGTTTAAAAATCAAGACTCAAACAATATCACACATTGAATAATCCTCCGGTGAACGCGTTCTACTGTGACAAATCTTCGGAATTTGTGTGACGCACATGCGTGAACCAGGCAAGGAATTAAATTTTAACGTGTTATATTATTTCCGGTGTGATATACTCGTACTTCCCGGTGTTCTACTACTAGTCAGAATATTTTGGAGCATCGTGTTAACTTCGAATGTGAATGATGCATTGTTTTAGCAAATAAGCACACAAATTAAATATGCATATAATATTAATAATAATGTATATTTACATTATTTTATTGACAAAATAACCATTAATTATAACAAGTTTTGTATTTGCGACTTGAATACAAATAATGTTTAGCTCCGCTGCCATCGATGATGACACAGCAACGAAGCTGGTCATATTACTGATTAACTTTCGTTTGTCAACAATTGCATTTGCATTTTCTTATTGAAAACCAGTTGGCTGAGTGTTTTGTGAATATGTTTGGGTGATTTTTGTCAAAACTGCTATTTCCGACGGGTTCTTGAAAACTATCAGCTGAATTCATTTGATACATGTTATGTAAGTATCTTGGGTTAATCTCTGTTAGATATTTTCGTTAAGTTTGTGACGATATCAACTATTAACAACTATTTTTTTCGTGTTTGATAAAAAAAATGATACGTGGTCATTCTTGAGATGTTTATGGAATCATCAATATAAGGGAACTAGGAAAGACAACTTGTTCACATTTCATTCACGTGATAGAAGTAGCATCAATATTAAAACAATAGAATAGTTGAATTACAAAAACAAATGCGACACGTATTATGTACAACGCCGGGTAAAATAATGCAAATCCTTTATGATCCTTTAGAGAATAACACATCTTGTGTTTGCATGTTGAACTTCCACGTACACTCACCAAGATACACACAAACAGAGGTGCTTGTGAAATTTTGCTAGGTTGTTGTATTTTGTTTATAAATGTATTATTTGCATTTACTGATATTTTCTGCAATATGACCTTTAGTATCAGTATTTCAGAGAATCCCGTGACTTCAAACAACAGATAATGTCTATAAGATACTAGTAACTGTAATATGTAAGCAATATACGTTGGGTGGAAGTCGGCCACCATTCGCCACCCCAGAAATAGTTTCGACAAGCATTTATATTTATTTACCAATAACTCGCACCTTACACATACGGTGTATTTACATTCATATAATAATAACTCGTTGCGTGCGTTGCAAGCATGGTGTATTTATTTTTTATTTAATATAAAATATAATTATCAGAATGTAATTCCGATGTGTTCAGCAATTATACATACATATTAAAAATATAAACTTGTTAATTTATAAAAATGCGTCTGGTGCGTCTGTCTATGCAAACCTTTAAAAATATGTTGTTTTTTTTAAAAATTAATATCAAGCATACATACTGCAAATTAAACTAGTCATGGAAAGGTATATAATTGTCGAAATACAAGCGAAGCGAATAAATAACCATTTCTGAACTTATCTCGGCAAATTTAATTCAAATACTAGTAAGCTGTACTCTTGGCGTACGAGTTATTGGTAAATAAATATAAAAACGCCGTACTTGTAATGTACGAGTTATTAGTATAAATAAAATAAATAATTTAAATATAAATACATAAACTGCAAGGATTCAATCAACAAGATATAAAACATGTGTGGTCGAAACTCCCTACATTCGAGATATACGTAACAACTTAGCCCTCTGCCGTCGATGCATCAACAGCAGAACGTTTATTTTCATTGAACAATGCGCATTATTTAAGAGAATCTACTGATCCGAGAAGAAAATTCAAGAACATCCGTGCGAGTGTGCAACGACCTTACCCGCAAGTTGTAGCGTTTTTTCACTGCTTTTTTGTAATTGCATTCTGTGAACGTGATGTAGGATGTGATACACATTCACTTCGGAAATTCACCTGAGAGATTAAAGCGCGGTGGTCGTCACGCGCGTGTTCGAATTTCATATAAATAAACAATGTATTTTACACGCGTTGTATACGTCGCTATGAGTCCCATATCGAACAGGACGCGGCACGACGACTGCCGCGCTTTAACAAGAACGGAAACTACTAGTAAGACTTGAAGATATGTGGATGAGATGATGTTTTAATAAATTACATATGATTTTCTCTGTAGACATATTAGATGGTAATAAATGGTATCCATATTTTGGTTAACGTGACTCGTAAAGAATATGGAGACAGAAGACTCAAAATATAGACTGTACTTTGTGCAAGTGTGCGTATGCTTATTTGGAATGGCCTCATGGCTAGATATCAATGGCGTATGGGTCCAGCTTCCGCTGATGGTAAACGTCCTCCCTGAAGGATGGGCTCTGGCATCATATCTCGTTCTGGTTATTCAAATCGCCAACATTGGACCACTCACGTTTTCTATAGTTAACAAGTTCACTAAAAAAAGGATCGAGATACCAACCAATTATCTCATCATATCCATTGGTATGGTGGCGTGTTTTTTGTTAGCTCCACTGTGGGATGAGACGACTTACGTAAACGGTGAAGAGCACAGCATGGCGTTGCTGACTTTGTGTGGGTTCCTCGCATTGGTCGACTGTACCTCGTCCGTCTCTTTCTTGGCATTCATGACTGTATTCTCACCTATGTTTATGACGTCATATTTCGTCGGCGAAGGTATGAGTGCGTTTGTGCCAAGTATACTTGGTCTTCTGCAAGGTTCCAGTGGCAATCCAGAGTGTGTTAACATCACCTACTACAATGAAACAACAAACACAACATACTATGAACAAGATTACTACTACTCTGAGCCCAGGTACTCAGTGGAAGTATATTTCCTACTGCTTGCTGGATTGTTGTTGACCAGTCTAGTGTCGTTTGCTCTGTTAGCACATCTTCCATTAATCAGACAGTTCTACATCGATCACGAGGATGTCCAACTTGTAGAATATCGTAAATCCTCTGAAGCTGCGTTCGATAATTTGAGTATTACTCTCGATAGCATCAACATTTGCAAGGGGGATGTAAAACCGAGTTCTGACAACAGCATCATAAAAACACCTATTAGTTCTGACAACGGCATCATAGAAACACCTTTAGGCACTGACAGCGTGATCATACAAAAACCTATCACAAGTTACGGCAGTACCGATGATTTGAGTCGTAAAGGCAGCGAAGAACAACTCTCTGTCATTGAAAACTCAAAGACGTTGAAACGTGAACTTCGCAGATTTGACTGGTGGTATTTGTTAATAATACAAGGGTATTGTTGCAGTCTAACAAATGGAATTATGCCTTCTATTCAGTCGTATTCCACCCTACCCTATGGTAACCTAGCTTATCATTTAGCAATTACCTTAGGATTAATGATGATACCAACAGCTAGTTTGTGTGTGCATTGGTTACCAGCAAAATCTAATATCTCAATAGGAATTCTCACTGTTATAGGAACTGCTGTAGCATGTTACATCACAGCGTGTGCTGCAATGAGTCCATATCCGCCATTATGTGGCAGTCCATGGGGAGGGGTAGTATCGGTGAGTGTTTTATTTTTCTGTTCTTTTCTCTTTTTTTAATCAATTCGCCCTTTAAATAATGTTAATCGAAAATCACTACATAACTCGTCATTACATCTAACCTACATTTTAAAATGTATTTGACAATTCGTTGAAATATCCGAGTCATTGGTGACATACTATTATATAATTATCACGGGGGAATTCTTCTCCTATGGGGTTCTCCAACACGTGTCGGGGGGAATCTCGTCTCGTCTCTATATCTCGTCCCCTTGAGGTGCGGGATCGGGTATATTCACACACAACGAAATACGTATCAACTCTCGTCTTTAGTCGGTCAGTCGAGTACTCTATAAGGAAGGGAGGCAAGGGGGTAGCTAGTACGGTTTTACGGGAAATAAAAAGGGTTTTTTACAATTTACAAGGAAAAAAAGACGTTTTTACAGTTTACAGTGTTAAAAAATGAAACATTGAATGGTCCGAAGAGCTCTCCGACTCAAATTCTCCGCCATTACTGCGCCGTGTGTAGAGACGCATGCGCATATTACCCTCGTAATGCTCTTCATTTGGTTAGAGGGCCTTTTTCGTCTTGACATTCAATGTTGTGGTGAATTGTGTCATCTAGTCGTTTTACAGTTTCTAAAATGTAATTTCCCACGTTTATTTTTTACGATTTTTTTGGGGCTGTAAATTCTTGTACGTACCGAGAAAAATAACACATTTTTACTGTGTACAAACAATATTTGATTGATTACGTTGTACGTCTAGCCTGTGATTACAGAATTACAGAATTTATTTTTTCAATTTACGTTGTACGAACAAAAAAATATTGCAATTACGTTGAACGAAAATAACCCTTGCCTATAAGACACAGCGCCCTGGGGAAAAGTCCCCAAGACTATCGCAAGGCTGACCCAAGACTCTGTGTCTCTCGTGGTGTTCTCGCCAAGACCAACTAACTTTATTCACTTTCAAAACCTTAACCAATTAAAAAGCAGTTAAAAGACTCTAAGGCGTGGCCTTCACACATTCAACTTGCACATAGCCAATCAAACTAAGTACTGGACACGTCATATCTTTTGATTAATCGTTCACTGTATTACTAACTGCGAATACCCAACTGTCAGAAATAGCGGTTCGGATAGCGACGGTTACATCGTAATTAGTTTCAAATCACTGAGTCGAGTTCCATCCAGGATCTCGCATGAGCCTAAATGATGACAGATATAACACAGCCATTCACTAGTAATCAGCTAAAGAAGTCAATCAACAGATACGCAAAAACTAGTTCATGACATAATAACCGAATATACACAGTACTGTGTCTGTATATATTAGAGACGCGTAATACACAAGTAATCAGTACCGTATTTCTGTTTTCTTATTTATCGCCATGTGACATTTCACTGGCAATGCTTTCTAATTTCACTCGCTTCATGGGAAATAATGTGTAAAGCGCCAACAACAAATTTGTGCGCTCGTTTCCACATTCGGCACGTACAATACCGTCATGTTAACAATATGCTTTTATTTCCAGGTCGTGGTATGGTTGTTATTTTATTTTATATTCACTTACATCAAAGTCTCTATTGGAGGAATATTACGTCATGAAGGCAGAAATGCTCTTATTTTGTACGGCGGAGTGACACAGATTGGGTCGTTGTGTGGCGCGATTCTTATATTCCCACTGATCAATACACTGCATTTGTTTGAGCCAAACGATCCTTGCGTATTTACCTGCTATTAAATTGCCAAACCCAACATGTTTTGAAATATTTAGAGGGAATGTTCAGCTGGGTAAACTGAATGGGTTTATTCAAGGGAATGGGAGCTGTTTCAAAACTGTGATGATAATGGGGTAAATTCAAAGATGCATTGGATGAGAATATGTAATTGGTATTTGCTGTTTGTTTAATGATGAACACAATGAACTAAAAACACTAACAAATAGTAATGTGCGATGATTGTTTTGGTACGTACCGGTATAATCATAATCCATGCTGATGCTTAATGTGTCAACCTTTAAGGTGCTAAAACGTTGTATTTAATTTTTGATAAATCATAATACAGTTTCCATCGACATTCAGTATCGAACCAATCTGATTAAAATAAGATCTTAGTTTGGGTATTTTACTTTTTTAAATATATATTTTAATAACTTATTTTTTTATATATTTTTTATTTTTTTTCTGGTTGTTGTTTTGAAGTTTTGTTAAAAAAAAATACGAAATAATAAAAATAGTATAAAAACAAAATACATGAAATAAAAAAAAAACGTGTCAAACATTGCAACATAGTTTAATCAGCTTGGTATCGAACAACAATACTGAACCATGTTCTCATCCTTGTTGCTTTTAAACAAAGTAAGTAAACCCTTATCTTCACGTTTATTATTGTTGTCTGTAGAGGGTTTAATGGGGTAGTAGACTTGGTGTGTTTTTTATTTTAAAAAATGATAAACATAATAGAATTCGTAGCTATCTCTAATAGACCATTTTCCGGTCACTGCGAGAATCACGCGTTATGCGTGAAATCGAACGTAAAAACAGGATAAACAAAGGTCATAGCGTCGTAGTCGCGTCAAACATCGCGTGGGATTCGACAAACGTGAAGTATTTTGGGTGACATTTCCATGCTTAATAATGTGCTGTCCACATTTGATGATAGGCAATTTTGATTAAGTAAGGGTATTCGGAAGCAATATTCCTCTGTCGAAGATCGGCCGGTCGATGTGAGTTACGAAATAAAGAAATTCTAGTTCAAAATCAAATCATTCGATTTTTGCGGCAGACGTTCGACGCGCGTTTTTCATACATCTCGCGAGATCTCGCAATTGTACGGAAAATCCCCTATTAGTTTAAGAAACATTTCTGAGATAAATGGAACATATACATACAACAGAGGTCAAAGTTGACAGCTCTTACTGTGATGATGATGCCTCAATTTGAAATTTGCATATTTGATATGTGTAACATGTAACAAAATCTATAATGAACACTTATATCAAATAGCGACTTGAAACAGTCACAACTCGATACCATATTCTTGTATTATACCAGAATCACGCAACGTGAACAGAGATGTACCAAGAATTATATTCTTAGGTTAGATGTTCTGGTGTAACAGGTGTGTCGCCCGGGTATGTCGTGATTTCTTCGTTTTAGTAATGGGTAACTACTATACATATATGTAATTATAGATGACCAAGAAGAGAAGACTGACATCTCGCGAATCAGTAAGCTATGAGTTTGCCAAAACACAACAAGGACGGACAAGTACATGTAAAACCCAGTGAATACGCGCCTAACGAGAGATGACAGGAAACAAAGTACTATTGAGCTCCAGCGGACTGGAATATATCTAGTCCGGATCGGAGTTGATCGTTTACCGTATATCAAACATGCTACAGAAACTGTACGGCAGGAAAACAGACGGGGAATAACTCCAACAGACTGAGTGGTCCGCTGCCATCTGAGCATGCATCTACACAGAGTTTCGTGGTCTGAGTGCCGGACTGACTAACTTGGGCTGTAAAAAAATACCGCCAAATTCGCAGTATATCTCGGACGCTAGCGTATTCGTAACCGTATTTTAACTATCAGTTATTTTAGTTGTTGTTGTAAACACGGAGTACAAAGAAGGGTCAGAAAATTTGGTTGCTGTATTGTGGGAGGATCATACAAGTTTGGTCACCGGCATTCTCAGTCACCCCACCCCCATCATGATAAATTAGTCAGGAACGTTTGAACCATTTTTATGTTGTTTGAAAAGAAACTCCTCCTGGGTGTGGATTAATAAGTATCCAGTCCGCAATTTGTCAATTTT